GGGTAAAGAAGAATACATTTATATCAAGGGCTAAGGGAAGGGACACCTTTTGGGAAATGGGGGTCACGAAATTTAAAGGGGCAATATACCCCTTTTGTACAGGCCAATTACTTTTTTTTACCAACCAGATCGGTCCTTTAAACCCAGATACAGCATTTGAAATTTAGCATAAGGTAAACCTCGAGACAAGAAATCAGCTGGATTCTCCTCCCCAGGTATTGATTAAATGTGAACATATGCTGCCCCCAATATTATCTTCCTTGCAATCTGTTTTTTTTTCAGGACTCTGTTTGTCGTAAAAATTTTACTTTTTCCTTTACAAAATCCTTGTAAGGATCCCTCTTTATCAGACCAAATTACGTGCGTAATATTTATCCCCTCAACTTATTTCTTATAAAATTTAGCTAATTTTTTTTGACACCTAATAAATGGTTTTTTCCCAACTGAGGCAAGGTCACGATTTAATTGGAGACACTTTAGCCTTAGACATAACAAGAAAAATAACACTTACATTGAAGATAAGCAATGCTCCATTGCCAATTTTGAACATCACAAAAAATTGGAGTACTTTTTTCCCCTTCTGGATTGGCCCACCTGTCAGGGGAAATTCCAACTGGGAATTTTTCTCATAATCCCCAATTAATTCTCCCACCTTTTAATGAATTCCTCAGGCAGAATTTACCCAAGCACATTTAAGTTTCCATGCTTCCGAATTAATAAATTTCTTTTATAGTAAGGGGTGACACTAAACCAGTGGATAAAAAACATTTGGAAATTTTCAGCAAGCAAGACTCTCTTGTTAATTTTTGGGCATACTGTAATTTTGGTTTTAACATTAACAAATCTTCAGTACCCCAAGTTAATCCCAATACATTATACATTTTGGCATTTCTCCCCGGGGTAATCTTTCTCATTTTGTCCATTACTTTGGACGAATTACTATTCCTTTCCCCAAGGCAATTTGCACTTTGCTATTTTATTAGCCTCTCGATAAGTCATTAACTTTCCCTCTTCAGTTACGTCCACCCAGGAAATTGTCCACAAAAAATTTTTTTTTCATTACTTTTAAATGGATTTCCATATGTTTAATTTGCATTTATGGTGCTTGAATGGGAATGGACGGAGTAGACCAAATAATACCCCCTTAAGCAAAAGGTTTTTTCAGAGGGCAAAAAGTGGGGTCACCCTCTTGTAAACCCATTTGTGGGAAAAAGCTTTACTTACGTCGGGCCGTAAAGGCATAAGCTTCACTCTGAAATTTAAATAAGATATCTCCTAATTTTTCTTTTAACGACGGCCCTTTGTCTCAAACATATTTAAATGGGTACTTTTTTTGGTTCCCGGGCATCAATTAAGCACAATCCTAAAAGGAGTGGTTTTTGAACCCTTTCTTCACCCCGTGATGTGGCGATAGTGCCCCATAAATTTTGGCTTGCCAGGGGGGACCTCTTCTATAAATTTTTTAATTAAATGTCAGAAATTATATCATTATAGGCATTAAACAATTCGGTTTTTACTCAGTTCGGGAGCTGACCTTTAATTGTCCTTTTCCTTTTGTAATTAGGGGGGAAATTCTGGATGGTTCATTCACGGAAGTCGCCCCCAGTATTACCAATTAAAATTTTTTACACTTTCAGGTATTGCTCCTGAGTAAAAAATCATCGGGATTTCTTCATTTACATTTTTTCCAATCTTTTCAATTCCCACAATTTGCACGGCTCAACACCACCCCTCTATAAAAGAATTATACTGGGGTACGACTTATGGTAAAACCACAGTTTGGTATTTGTAGTTTCCTTATCATGAATTATTATTCGAGGAATCCCACCATACATTACATGGCCCTGCCGTCTTCAAAAAGGGGACCCACTTTTTTTTACCATACCCTTTAAAAGGGGCAAATTCACCACATACAAAATGTTTTTTGGGCCTACGAATGATCACTTCAACCCAAAAGGGGCTAAATTTTAATTATTGGGAAAACTTTCGTGGCTTTACAAGCCCCCCTGTAGTTATTTTTTTGGAATCTATCTACAATTACTGCATTAACACGTTTTTTTTCATTGCCCCAACCCGCAGTTACATAAACGGATACAATTGAGACCTTTTACCAGAGAAAAACCCAAAAGATTTTAAAGTTGTGGGATTCCCATCTGTACTTTCTACCATCAAACATTTTCGTTTTATGAACGTACGCTGGGACCCCGGTCCAATAATGCATTTACATTTTTGATTTTGGCCCTTTTTTCATCAATTTTTACATTAACACAGGTAAGGCTATTTTAGCAAAACCACTTTTTTAACATTAGCAGCCCAAATTTTTACATTAGCTACTGTTTTTCCAGTTGTCCAACATTATCATTATTTCAAAATTTTCAATACCCCCTTTCACTGATATAATGGTGCTTTCCCTTTTTGGCATTGTAAAAAGAAAAATTTATTTGGCATAAAATCTTTTCTTGTGATTACCTAAACACCCGATACCCTGTCAAGTTCCTCCAACTTCAACTTTTCATTCCCCTGAAATTTATGCAAAGCAATTCTTAGAAAAATGAGTACCCCTTTCAGAAAAGACAATTCTCTTTTCTTTGATTGGTTTTTATTAAATGGGCTACTCTTAGGGGGTATTTTTCTTCTTACTTTGTGGGGATCATTATTTCTGATTTCCCGCTATTATATGCACCTATCAACTCTTTTTGGAAATGAATTTATTTTTTTACCCTTGGGATAATTTTTCCCTTTGAACTTTACGATACCTCAGAGTTTTTATGTGTTGATCTTTAAAATGATTAGTTGGGTGGCTGCAACCCGCACAATTTTAATTCTTGTGACCTAGCTTATTTCCCCCAACCAAAAAAACCCTTTTGATATTTTTTTCGAGAGCCCTTTCAAATGTTTTTTTAGCTTTAATTTATTCTGTACCATGGATCAATAACCCGTCTGATTCTTCAGGAAAATTTTTTAAATTTTTAAAATTTTGAAAAAGTGCCTCCATTTTTAAATCAAATGCGTAAATCTTTTAAGTGTGATCTGGGATTTTAAAATTTAAAAATGATATTCACTAGATCCAACCACTTTGTTTTTAATTTTCCATAAGTGATTTCAACAATCAACGCTTCCTGTAAGATCATCTTCATTGGGGAAAAGGGTGTATGAGTATGTGGCACTCCTCTTACCCGTCCTTTGAGGTAAAATAATTTAGTTACACAGCTAGGTCACTTTTGTCATGCACAGCTGCTTTAAAATTGACCAAATTTCCCCCCAATTTTCTCCCCGGGTTAATACGGAAACACAATTCTGGGAGTTTTGGGCAAAAAAACATTTTTTTTGTTGGGAAACAGACTGATTAACTGCCGGTTTCACATTTTAATTTATTTAAGGCCCGACTTTTAAAGAAAGAATATTTTTCCCCTAATTCATAAAATGATTAATCATGAGTCTACTTCAGTCTCATCTACACAGTTTATAACAAACCCTCATATTTGTTGTAATATTTTGTATAATATATCTATTTCCAAAACATTAAATACAATTTTTTAAAACATCAGTATTGACAGTTTCTTTATTCTTAATTCCAATCATTATTTTATGCCCTTTGGGTTTAAAGAAACTTTCTAGCCTGTATTTTGTTTCTTTACTCTATATTCCATATGTTTGTTTCTATTTAGTTTTTTCATTTTCAGCCATGATGCCCCCAATGTATTAAATTCAAATTTAAAAACACTGATTTTGTTTAAAATTATCCTTTATAAAGGTAAATAGTACAACTTCCCCCTTTAAAACAATCCTAGCTACCTGAGCTTAGCAATTCATTAAGAAAAAAATATAAACTTCAAATGTACATTAAAAAAAACCTTTACCAGCCCGGCTTATCAAAATTATTTACAAATTATTATAAACCTTGCCAGAATTTGGCCCCTAGCAAATTTAAAATTATAAAAATTAATATTTTACATTGGGTTATCAATTACACATCATGAAAAAAACTTGGCCAAATTGTTTATCAAATTAATATTTTACAAAATACATTAATAAAACCTAGCCCCTTTGGCTTTGCTAAATTAATAACACATTAATATAATTAGCTACACTTGGCTTATCAATTACACTAACTTATAAAAATTAAATAATCTTTAGCCACACTTGACTTATCCAAAATTTAAAATTGAATAATTATAACCACAACATTAATAAATTGTGAAATTAACATCCCCCTCCTTTGTTATTTTTATATATAAATTTTTAAAAGTAGTTAACTAAAAATGCTTCACTAATTTTCCCCGGTTCAAGAAGGACCAACGGGCAATTAAATGTGGAAAATTGCATTTATCTGAATGTATCATTATGACATAACGTAAATATACACAGATAATTATTTTTTATCAGTTGACAAGAGGAATTTGGGAACCTAGGTCCAAAAAAAGTCCCCTTCGTACCTACCCCTGTCTTTCCACAAGTTGCTCTTGACCATTTTAAATTTCCAAAAAAAATATGTTCACCCGGAATTGGTAAATTATAAATTTGGGATGTAATTAAAAATAAAAATTTTTTTAAATTTTACACAATTACATAACAGAAGGAGAATATCTTAAAAATCACTCACCAAAATTTTAAATGGAGTTAAGTTTATCAACTCAGAAAATCACTGCTAACTGAAAATAACAACTGGGCCGAGTTATAACATAACACTTATCTGAGGTTCCCCGGAGTTGTCCTTCCCGGGGGGAATAAAAAAAAGCCCCATTTGAGGAGGGAGAAAAACCCCCCCCAAATAAGTTTATCCAATTCAAATTAAAATGGCGACTGTCCCTTCTCCCCAGGCTCAGTTTCCCATTTTCTATGACATAAATGTTATTAAATACAGTATGGCCATCTATATACATATAAATACTGAATTTCTGGAAAATATATACAGTATTTTCCACAGTTATTGTCATCATCATCATCATCATATTAACAGTATCGTATTTGAAGCTACTATTATTTGACTTCTATTTGAGTACAAGATTGTGCAATACAAAGATGTGTGTTGTTCCCACAGTCACAAGGGACGGTACACGGGGAGGAACTGGCCTATGTGTTCGGCGCTCCTCTTGTCGGAGGCTTCAATCACTTCGGTCTCAACTACACACTGGAAGAGGTCTTCCTATCAGAACTCGTCATGACTCAGTGGACCAACTTCGCCAAGACCGGGTAAGAGGGACTGACGTGTCAGCCATCAAACTTCGTTGCTTAGTGGTATAGCAGTTGCCACACAAACTGAATAAGACCGGTTTGATTCCCAGGTTGGTTGCCCGTTTGACTATGACTAAACTGGTGCCTGAGTGTTATTCAACTTTTGTAGATAGCATCGGATCGGATGGTCTTACAGAGGTTTAGTTGGTAGAGAATGGCATTATATTCTGAATATTGCAAAATCATAGTAAATTATTTATACAAATAATAATAATAATAATAATAATAATAATAATAATAAAAATAATAATAATAATAATAATAATAATAATAATAATAATAATAATAATAATAATAATAATAAATATTGTACAATTTTCTATACTCAGAATGTAGAATAGATACAATACCCAAGAAATAATTTAAATGAGGCTATTGATTTGCCATGTAAATGTTAGATTGTTTACGCATTATTTATATTCAGAAGATTATATCACTTGAAGTGTGTACACTGAGAGCAACAGTGCATGTACACATGGAGTGTACATCTCAGTTCATATACTCTTAGAGTTTACTTAAATCCAATAGGCCCATTTTTGGGGATTAAAGTATTCTTGATTGTTGGTGAACAACTATGTCCAGCCTTACGATCCTCGTGTGCCGATAGGCTTTAAGTGTAATTAACCAACCAGCCAACAGTCTGCTATATTTCCAGCCTGGCTAAGAATACAACTGCGTATATATCATTCAAGGAAAACATTAAAGCCGTGTGTCATACAGCGATTAGGAATACAAGCGATATATATTTGTGTATATTCACTAAAAAATTCATTTCAACCTATGAAGAATGAAAGTCAATACCGTGGCTGGAACAGATTACAACTGTCCCAAAATTTTCAAATGAAATTATATATGACGTTACGGTCACTCCTGGACCATCATCAAGTCGCGAGTGAATGAGCAAAGGTGATGCAGCCAGAATATAAGTCAAGTAATTGCGTAGGAAACAGCCAAGGTCAGGTCAAGTCGCGTATGTTTTGAAGATTAAACTGTTTGAAAATGTACTTGAAAAGCCAAGCATCAGCAGAAACAAACCGGGACTAATTTTTATGTGAAGGAATGTTGCGTGTAAGAGCCGATTTAACAAGACAACGTGTGAAGGGTAGTGGAGGGATAGGTAGATAAATCATGGAACGGGTGTGCCTTGAACCCATGGCCAATGAATCCTAAAACTCACAGGTAAGTTTGTCAGAGGACCTGCTCATGGAATGGTTGTTTTCTAACTTGACAGAAGAGAGCGTCGTTAATTGTGTTTCTTTAAGACACCTGATGCCCCTGTTCACCTATCAGTAAATAGGTACCTGGGTGTTAATCGACTGGTGTGGGTTGGATCCTGAGGACAAAATTGACCTAATTTGCCCAAAATGCTGTATATTATTGATGTCAGGTCTGTATACATTGTACATGTACTTTTAGAAATAAAGATTATTATTATTATTGTTATTATTATTATTATTATTATTATTATTATTATTATTATTATTATTATTATTATTATTATTATTATCTTAGGTATATTGTCTTAGCCTGTCAGGAAAAGAGTGGACATTTTCACTAATGTATTGGAGAGGATAAGGGTAGACACCGAAAGTTTTGGTCTAATCCAATTACAAGAAGATAGGCAAGCTTAATGTTCATAAATTTATGGAGATTATTATGATTTTTGTAAGTTAGAGAAAACAAATTTCGAGTATTGTGGCACGAGAACTGGGATATTAATAAAAGAAAGTCCATTTCGCATCGGTGTAAGCACAGTTTATGAAAATGGGAATATTAGTCCATTTACTGCAAGGTGAACAGTAAGAGTTTGGCAAGGAAACTTGCCCATATGTGTCACCTCACCTGGGAACTTCTTGATTCGCCGGTACTTTCCCGGTCCGGGTCTTTTCCAGATGGTGACCCGGCCTTGGCTCCCTGTTTTGGGAGTGTCTGAGACCTATGGAAGGAGGTAGAAGTACCTCCTCATATTTTGGGACCAACTGTCCCCAGGCCAAGCCCCATTCCCCGTCCCCACGGGGCTCGTAGGGAGAAGCTAGTGGAGTGGCAGACTTGTGAGATGCATGTGGTAGTAAGCTCTGGCTCTGGCACCTTCCCCACCCTAAAAGGGCTCGTGGGAATGGTGTCCAATTATTAGGGCAACGATGTATTTCAAAGCTCTCCACCCGCCCCAGGATCGAACATGTGTGTTTATCAAATCCTTTAAAATAATAATGCCTATAATGTCTTTAAAATGTTACGTTTATTTCCTATTATAAAAGTTTTTAGTACAAAAGTAGTAATTTATCTTTAAACTATATAGAATCAGTCAAAATAGTTAGGGCTTAAAATTATCAGAAAATATTACTATTTTCTTTAACAGAAATGTCAAAGAAAATAAAATTTCAAGCTGTTCTTTAGTTCAAGGGACACTTAAATAATCTGTGCATAGGTTAAATTTTTGCAAATAATGATCTGTATTGTATCTCACACAACTGTGACAAATGATACTTATTAAAAAAAAATTAACAGAGCCACATATTACCATAAGATGATGTCATAACTAGTCCCTGGACCCAACAAGCGCTTCTGTAATCTTTACACTACCCTACATGGGTATGGGGTGAATTTCAGAGCTGTAGTACATATTAAACTAAAGGATGACACAAGTGTACGCTGCAAGTTTCTTTTTTTTTTAATTACTAACTCCCGGGATAACCCAAGGAAGCCAAGAAGTGTTGATTTCCACTTAGTCTATTAAGTCCTCTTTCCCAGGAAAACCAATGAATAGGTGTATTTTGGTCGCTGTGCAACCCGAGAAAGGTATCCTGTATTACATAGTGCCAGTCATCTGTGCTTCAATGTAAGTGATTGGAATAGTGCAGATTGCGGCATGAGTTGATAATGCATCAAAATTACCATTGAAAATTTGATGTTAACAAGGACCAGATTCTGGGTATCTTTATTTGTAGACGTTACGCCATTCAGTGATTTTATCAACACAAATTAAAGGCCATAATGGGAAGACTGTAGAACTATATACAGAAGAAGAGGTAATCAGTCCCTCATCCATGACTACGGTACTCTTTACCAACTACAGGATTGAGGGACTGATTACTTCGTCTTCTGTATATATTTATACAGTCTTCCCATTATATCCTTGAATTTGAATTGATAAAATCACTGAATGGCAAAACGTCTACAAATAAAGATACCCAGATGTTGCACATGTGTCTAATTCTTCATCTTGTCAGTACTGTATACCATTCATGTACGACTGAACAGTATCTCCAGCTATTCTGTACGGAAATAAATAACAAAAAGGCACAATACCGTGACTGGAACGATACACAAATAACCCGCACATAAAAGAGAGAAGCTTACGACGACGTTTCGGTCCGACTTGGACCATTGACAAAGTCACACTAACCAGAGGTGGAGCAGGACGGCTATATATAGGCAGGAAGAGGTGGTGGTAGTAGTAGTAGTAGTAGTAGTACAAGAATTGTTTATAATACCGACAAGATGAAATCAAGACACATGCACAACACCCGGGCATCCCCATCGTAGACGTTTCGCCATCCACCACCACGGAGGGCGAAACGTCCACAACAAAAAAAACCAACGCCGCACAGTCTTAATTTCTCATATTGTATAGTAGTAAAGAAGAAGAGGTAGTAGTATGGTATGGAGAAGTGGGAAAAAAGGATGACGAGCCAGTCTTGGCTACCCTTCCCATTTCATAACTTTTGCCCTCACAGCTAAACGAAATTTTCTTCTCCCCCAAAAACTCTCTACTCAGGGGAACTCTTTATCCTCTCCCTTTCCCCTATTTTTCCCGGGTCTTTCTAATCTCAACAATTCTCTCCGCCCTTAGACACAAGCTTACCTTCCCCCAGACAACACTCTCGCCTAATCCGTCTTTACCCCCTCCCTCACAATTTCCGGTGTCTACTCATTTCTTGCTCTTCCCTGTCCTCTTCAATACTTCGGAAAAACTGTCGATCTCTTTCTGACAGACTTAGGGAGCACAAAAATAGTGTTTAAGGCTTGCCGACACAAAACAATGCCTTTTCTGTCACTCAAGCATAGCCCCCTTTTTTTACTGGTTTTCTCAAAACGTCTTCCCTACTCCAACTCGAAAGTCGCCGTCTAGTTGAACCTCTCAATACACAACTTTCCTTTTATAACCTTAGCCCTGGCTTCGTCTCTGTAGATGCCTTCCCTCCCACACATTGTAAAATCTCCAAATTTTAGAACACCCTGCTTAACCTGAATCCTCTTTTTTCTTTTTCTTTTCTTCTTCCTTTCCCCTTTCCTCTTTTCCTTTTCCCTCTGGGTTGTCTTCCTTTCTCCTGTGTCGTGTTTTTTTTTTTCCTTCTTTATTTATTTTACCATTCCCCTTTCACGCACCTCTGGCACTTGCTCTTCCCCCCTGTGGCACTACTCCTTGCAGTGCTCCCCTCCTTTGTTTTTACGCTCGTCACCTTATTTCCCCCTTCTCCAATACCACTACTACTACCTCTCTTCTTCTATACTACTACTCTACTGATGAAATTAAGACATGTGCGGCGTCTGGTTGTCTTTTTTGTGGACGTTCCCCATCCATGGCTGGCTGGATGGGGAAACGTCACGATGGGGATGCCCGGGGGTTGTGCTGGTCTTTATTTCATCTTGTCGGGATTATAAACAATTCTTGTACTACTACTACACTACACCCCCCACCACCCTTTCCCGCCTATATATACCGCCCGCTTCACCTTCACAAAAAAATCCAGATCACACACGCTTTTCACGAAACATTACTCAAAAGAGTAAAGATCAAACCCGCGAGTGGCCAACCAATGAGTCGTCCAAACTACACTTGCAGCGTCGTTAGTGCAGGCGCAAACAAATGAATCATTTTATCGCTCAAAAAAGGCCTTTGTTTTCGTCTGTACGACGACACAGAGGGTGAGAAACTACTTACCACCACTGCTACT